CAAAAATGTTTTGGGACATGCATTTGAATTATTAAGGCAAGAGCGATAGCTACGAGTGGGTCATTCTTCCATTTAGCAATTCAATTTTGTCGAGGGGTATCAACACAAGATGTTTGATGGATAATGCCCCTCGACTCAAGAAACTTTTGAAAAATATTAAGTTTACATTCAAGCGCATTGTCAGTTCTAAGAACAAGTAATTTTGCATCAAACTGATTTTGAATTTCAGTATAAAAGGATTGAAAAACAGAGAATACTTGAGATCTATCTTTAATAATATAAACCCAAGTTAAACGTGAATAATCATCAATAAATGACACAAAATAACGAGCACCAAATAAACCAGTAGTACGAGCTGGTCCCCAAACATCAAAATGTACTAACTCAAAAGGTTTCAAACTTTGATTATCAAAACGAGATTTAAAAGTAGCCCGACGATGTTTACTACGTTCGCAAGTAGTACAATTAAACTTAGAAAAATCAACTAAAGAAGGGACCAAGGCTCGAAGACTATTTGAAGAGGGATGTCCAAGGCAACAATGCCACTAGTAAGCTAAAGAATAGGTGGAATGTAAAGTAGTCGGAGCAATGGTTGGCTGGAAGTAATAAAGACCATCCTTCTCAAACCCCCCACCAATCGTCTTCTTCGTCTTGAGATCCTGAAAGACACAACTGGAAGGAGAAAAACTAACAACCGATGGTGAGAAAACATGAGAAATATCATAAAGAAGAGATGGGTTACCTGTCATGTGATCGGATACCTCTAAATCAATGATCCAAGCTGCAGAAGATGAAGCATGGAGACACGTATTACCTAAGGTAACAATAGTAGCAATGGAGGAGGGCTGATTTGCGTGCTCACGCTCACGCTTTACCAGAGAATCATACTCAACTTTGGAGAGAATGACTTGTTCATTCGCAAGAGTGGGAGTAGTCTCCTCTGAAACCGAAGCTTGATTAGCCCAAGCTGGATTGCCATGAAGAGCCCAACAGAAGTCAACACAATGATTGTTTCGACCACAATGAGTACGTTTCTTGCTGCAGCGACCCCCTCTGCCACCACGAGTACCACGACCTGGGTTGGAAGGACCTTTGCCCCCTCATCCTCCACGGAAAGTATCAAGTCGCTCAATATGAACAACAAGAGCAGAGTGGTTGTCCTTCTCAATCACACGGGCATGAATAAATGCTCTTCAAACTCGAGCAAAAGTCTCACTAGTCGTAGTTATCTCCTTGCCAGACAAAATCTACAAACTGATTAGAGCGAGTTCGGGTTTTAGTCCAAATAAAAATTTTGCCACCCGAAACTCCTCCCTATGCTATTTTTGTTCTTTAATGTCTGTTGTCAATAGTTGGTAGACATTCAATTCTTCCCACATACCCTTCAGCTCTGAGTAATAATCTTCAACAGAATGATCTCCCTACTTGAGATTAAAAATACCCTAGTACATCTAATATATACGTGAAATATTATTCTTTGAAGAATACATCTCCCTGAGATTTTCCTAGATATCTTTGGCAGATTCTAGGAATGACATATTGTTGAAGATCTCAGGCTCCAAGTTGTTCTACAACCAAATCATAATCTGAGCATCTTCTTTCTCCCAAGCCTCAATAATCTTTTTATCACTGGTGGGTTTGGCTGATTTAAGATAGGACAGTTTTCCTCAAGCCTGTAAGAACATCTCTACGGCTCGAGACCATTTAAGGTAGTTTAAGCCTTTCAGTTTGGTGCTGGTGATTGACCCAAGAAGATGAGATTCATTAGTATCCATAACAAGAGTTGCCGAACAAATGACATATAGTAGCGAGAGGGAGCCAAGATAAGAGAACCAAGATCAAGCCGAGATGAACCCGAGAGAAACTACTGAGGAAAGAGCCGAGGAGGGATCTGATAGAGATTGCCGAGACGAGAACCGAGATCATCGAGGAGAGAATGCCGAGCAAAGATTGTTGGGAGAAAAGCCGAGATGGAATCAAGATCGGAGTATAAGTAAGACCTAAGAAGCACGGACACGGATACGACACGATACGAACACGGCAAATCCAAAAAAATTAGGATACAAACACGGCGAATAGTGTATATATACGTTGTAGTACTTTAAAAATTACTGAGTGTTACTATTTTTCATCAACCTCACAATGAAAAAAATACACAAATCATAACTCATAACTAAAACTATAAAAAAAGAACAATCTTGCAGAGTTATAAAACCAAATGAAAAACAAGACATTAGAATAATAACTAGTATCATTTAATCATCATTGCAACTTTACTCCAAATACAAAAGCACAGACAGAAAGGACTATTGACATTCATGACTGTTTAACATTCAAGACTTTATTCTTAGCACTTAACATTCACAAAAACCTAAAGGCTAGTCCTCAAAAAAGATACAAAAACAAGTCAATGTACTATCATCTATTCCCACACCCCTAGCGTGTCGGACGAGTGTCCGCGTAGTGTCTGTGCCGTATTCGAGCCATGTCCGAAAATTAAAAAAATAAAAATTTCCAAACACGTTTTTTTGGTGTGTCCGACACGTGTCAAACACGGATTCTTCGCCCATTTTGGTGTGTCCATGCTTCCTAGAGTAAGACTGAAAAAAATATATATATATATTAAAGAGGGATCGATTTCCGCTATGATATCATGTTGAAAGAGAGAGAGAGAATATATGAAAACGTATATATTATTCAGTAAGTAATACAATAATACAATAGTGTTTATATAGGAGAAGCTACGGGAGTAGGTGAGTGGAGAAGAAGTAAAACCTATACATGGTAATTCTATATGTGGTAATGAGGGGTAGGTGAAGGCGGCTACAGAATTCAGAAAACCCTAACATACAATGTAATCTAACTGTACACGTGTCACAACTCATACAATACTGTACAACAATCATCAAGTGAAACAACTTGAGAAAGCGGAGTTGGTGCCGAAGGGACAGGGCAGACGGTTATGGGAGCAGAAGCTTGAATCGACTGTTTCACAGAAACAATTCCCCTGGAGGGGTATCACGCGGAGGAATAGTAAAACAGGAAACTTAAAAACCAAGGGTTAATGGGAACCACCCACTCTAAGAACCAAATGAACCACTATAGTACTGCGAAGAGACATCCATGGATATAAAATGCCGCCTACAGGGAGGATGGTAATACCTGTAACCTTTCTAAGATTGAGAATAACCCAAAAACACACTTTAATGCCTTGGGGTCAAGCTTTGTACAAGATGAACAAAACACACTCACCCGAAGACTCATGGGAGAATCAAAAAAAGAGATTGATTGGGATATAAGATGAACAAAACACACTCACCCGAAGACCCTGGAAGGGGTATTAAAAATGTAGACAACTGTAAGAACTACAACTCCCCAAAACGACTAGGGAACATTCATGCCAATGCAGATGGCTCTGCCTAAGTCAAGGATCTAGTGATTATTTCTCTCATAATCGCCATTTTGTCGAGGGGTTTGAACGTTAGACACCAGATTTTGGATTCCAAATTATGTAAATAACCGTTGTACCTCCCCATAAGTGTACTCGGTACCATTATTGCTTCTGAATTTTTTACTGGTTAAAACATACTGAATCTGAACCACTGTCACAATTTTTTTCAAAATAGTATACACCTCATTCTTGGTTTTCATGAGATGGACCAATGTAACACGATTATAATCATCAATAAACGACACAAGATTTCGAAATTCAAGACTGTCAATACTAGCAAAATTTGTCATAGGAAATAGCTGGCTGCTCACTGGTGTGAAAGCCATCATGAAAGGAAAAGTGATAAAAGAGTAAAATTTAGTACATTCATTATACATCTTAGCTCGTGGGTGAACACAATAGCCTATTTTTATATTTGTGTTAACTATATTAAGTGAACATGGTTCATTAAATTCATTATTAAAAGTTCATATATGCACTAGACTTTAAAATGGACTGCTGATTTTTTATTTTGTTTTGGGATAGATGTGGGTCCTTAATTGAATATTAGATGATTAATTCCTATCAACATTCGATTGACAAAAGTTTTGGCATGATATACAGTAGTTTATATATGTTAATTTATAGAATAAAGTTTTTAAAAATATAAAAAATAATGGAATATGATAAAAAAATGAAAAAACACAAAACGATTTTCTTTTTCTTGCTTAGAAGATAGAGTATGCTTAGATTAGGGTTAAGGAGATTTCTTTTTCTTGTTTGCAAGGTACAAACCCGTTGGGTCTCCTGTGAGATTGAGGCATGGAAGGTAGATGCCTCTCGTGTTTAAACGTGAACCTTCATGTCTAATTGTGAAAATATTTTTCATGCTTTTTTTTTTTTTTTTTGATAAATAAAAATATTTTTCATTCTTACCTTGTTTCACCTTGCAACTTGCAAATAATTTCAAACTTTGGTTGAATTTATAAACTTCCAATGACATTCCATAATTGTAGGCTGAAATTAACGTATGATTACTAATTTCAGATTTTATAGGTAAATCAAGCTCAGAAAATATGACTAAAATGTTGCTGATGGACAGAATAAAGGCATTAACAATTTGATAGACAGATATTATAGATGAACCAAAATCATAATGCTGCTGACCGTATAGGAATGGATGCTTATGACTATCAGATCTGTTGGAGAAAGAAAAAAGAAAATGAACTTTTAGAAGCTTTATTTTAACTACAGTATACAATTCTCTAACTGTTTGTCCGGTAAATTTCAGTAGCATCTTATCAATATATTTTTTTATGTAGCATCTAATATAAGGAAACTTGACACCAATATTATTGCGCACATCACCTCAAAATTTAGCATTTGATATAAAGAAAGTTGATACAAATAATATGCCACATTTCCTCAAATCTCAATTAAGGTCCAAGCCAACCCGCATAATTTATATATATGTCCTTGTAACGAAGGGATCAACAAAATATGTTCAACGATACATAAACTTAGTGACATACTGCACTGCTTATGTGGCATTAAATTTTTGGAAACTTACCCATCATTCTGAGGTAGAAGTAACTCCTCCCACACAGAGTTACAATATGCATTACCTAGGGTGCGAAATAAATCCAAGATTGTACGTTCCCAGACCTTGACATCCAGTGTTATAGATCTTACCTGTAGTTAGTAGGACAAACTATTTCATTAATCATGAGCTCCCAAGTCAAATCATAGTGTTAAAATAAATTCAGGCAATTCATACAGCCAATTCATAGTGATAAAATTAATTACTTTTTCTTCTTCTATGCTTAAACTTTGGGTATAGTAAACCCCAAACTTATATATATTAAAGTCAATATACTGTCCAAAATATATATTCAATCACAATGCTCATTAACTAACTTTACCAGTATCAGTGAGGTTGTGGCAGTTGGAAGCTATGACAGCACATATAATTCATAAACCTCTTCATGTTGCTATTTGAAAACTAGCAACATTTATGCCATCGTGTAAATTTAAAAGGGATAAAGGAGACATTGCGGAATGGACAAGAAGGATAATCAGCAATGAAAATTAAAGTTGACTAAGTGAAGCTGCATATTAGTATAACACTATAACATTAGTTCAATTAAAGTGTTAGGTTATGAGGCCATTGGATGGAGCAGTGATGTCTGGGCTAATACTATCAGCAATAGTGACATTCTCCTATCATTTACGGAATTTCATCAAAGCTGTTCAGTGATAAGCGCTGAATACTGTATATTCAAGCGCCCTAAATTACATTAACAAAGTCCAGTTATTGATTATTTTATGTAGATTAACTCCATTTGCATGTTTTTATGCATTTTCAGGTTAAAGTGCAAAAAGGAAGCAAAAATGATGCCTTGTGGAATTTTGAACAAAAAGGGTGCCATTTCTGAATTTCTGGCAGCAATGATCCTGACTTTTGTCGCCATTTTCGACCTAGCAAACTCAAGAACTGGACTTCCATCATAACATGAAAGATTTAGATCTCTGAATCAGCTTTCCAAATCTTCAAGCGGTTCATCATTTGGAGTGCGGAGCAGAGAGTTATGATCTTCTTAACAGAGGTGCGCAGAACTGCCTGGCAGCACTGAAGTACTGCCTTTCTCCCCATTTTCGACCAACCAGACTTGAGAATTGGGTCTTCATCAAAACATGAAGTTTTTAAAGCACTGAATCAGCTCTCCAAATCTTCAAACAGATCAGCATTCGGAGTTCAGGGCACAAAGTTATAGCAGTTTTACCAAAGTAGGTCAGCGCTGAGCAAGAAGAGCATGTTGCACATTACACTAATTTAGAGTGCTCGAGACCACTTTTCGAGTGCTCGAAAATCAGGCAGATTGCACTCGGAAATGGCTCAATTTCAGCCACTTGCACATTGGTTTCCTCAATGCCATCTTCCTTCTTTATGAAGTGGTTGGAGGTATTCCTTGGAGGAGAGAGAGAGGGTTTTGTTGGAGAATAAAAGGCTACCAAAGGCCACACATTGGCTATCCTTGAATTTTGGCAAGAATAGAGGGGAGAGAAGAGAGCAAGGAGGAGAGTGTTCTTGAGTGCGACAGTAGAGCTCGAAAATGAAGTGGTATTCTTCTTCTTCTTCTTCCATTTTTGTATCAATGGAGAGCTAAACCTCCATCTAGGGAGGTGATGAAGCCTCCTCTTTTGATCATGTTCTAGATTAGGCTTTACTTTTGGGGACTATAATGTATAATGTGTGGAAGTTTCATAGTCTAAGAGCATATTCCTTCTTGTAATGAATTTTAATGTGTAAATGGTTGATGTAAGTTCATTGTCATATCTTTGATGATTCTTGGATCAATCTTATTGCTTTTATTTTCATAGTGACAATGAAAATATAGACTATGAATGTTTTTCAAGGCATGTTGATTTTGAAACTTGATATTCCATTGCTTAGGTACCTCCTTTGATGGCTTATACTTGATTCCTACCTTCATGTGCTTCACCATTTGATTGAAAGCTTGTTGGTCTTTTGCTTGAGATAGTGTATTTGATTCTACACCTTAGTTTAAGTAGTTCAACTATGGTAGCTTTTGATGGATCATTCTTGTTTTGATTAAGTGAGCTCCTTGATGATTATTAAGCAACGGAGTTGCTTCATATTTCTTGACCATTGCATATATGCTATTTATCCCCAAATGTAGACCTAATCTAGCATGTACTTAGGGCGTAGTGTGGATTCATCTCCCTAGTCGTTTCTACTTGTATCTCACTTCTTCAATTTCATTGCAATTTATTGCTTTATGCGCTTTTAATTTCCTAGCTTAAGTGACATCCAACAAAACCTCTATAAACCCCTTATCATTCTAAGAACAATTCTAGACACTTAGGTTGCCATAGACTAGCGCAGTCCCAGTGGTTCGACTTACCCGACCAATAGCCCTATTTTACAATGATTCGTGCTATTGCGAAGGTTGATGTTAATTGACCAACCGATCATTCAGATATGGACTGATAGCATCTCTTTTTCCTACAATGGATGATGAGATAGAACAACGAATGTGGTATCTGGAGGAGTTTGGCAGTGTTAGGCCAATAGGACTTAGGTTGGCAATTTCACAAATCCAAACTGAGTCTATACTTTCGCTCTAATTTCTAGCTGAGTTAGAAAATATTCAAAAGTTGGTTAGTGTTTACCTCCCAAGGTCGAAGATAGAATTCAGGATACACTCAAGGATGCATTGGTAATCTTCGTCTACAAGGGTATAAAGGTAAATTGAGACACTAATGCACTCACCAAATTAGGGTTTCTTTGTTTACAATATTTCAATTTGATTTGAACCCCTAAGATGTTTTAAACTCGCATGAATTAGATTTCGGAAACTTCCATAAAGAAAATTTTCCAAGTATAAATCTGCAGAAGATTTCGATCTATCAAGGTATCGATCAAAGCCTTCTGATTCTGGAGAGATGTTGAACGACTTCAGACTGGATCGATCGAGCTGTTCAAAACAATGGTTTCCAACATGGTTTTTAATTCTGTAACAACCTATTGTCCCTATCTTGCTGCCTTTAAATACACAAGACTAGGATAAACTTAAAAACGACTCATACATCATAATAAGAGAATATTTTTGTGAATTTTTTAGTGCATCTCTTTTTCAATTAAATTAACTATCCACATTAGTTGGTGAGTGTATTCATATGTGTTGACATCAATTGTTGCGTACTACAAAGATCAGATAAGCACTACAATTCAAGCAACTAGTGGCTACGACCGAAACACTAGAGAAGTAGTTTTGTGAGGAGCGAAAGCTATTGACAAGTGGAACTACGGACTGAAGACTTTCAGGGGAAAGTTTGGAGTCTTCTGTGTTAAGGAGATAATTAGGATTCTTGGGGTAGAGTTTGTTAACCTAGGTTGTAACAATTTTTCTTAATAGTGGATCTGGTTTGCCTGGACTAAGTCTAGTGATTTTTCCCTCCTTAGTGCTTTCCAAGTAAAATACCGAGTCCAATGTTTATTGTTTTAATTGTTGTGGATTGTTTACGATTTTAACTATTTGAAATATAATTATTTTTTTTTAGGTAATAGGGTATCCGGGGCTTTGCTCCCTCTAAATCCCCACGACACTATGTAAAGCGCCCCTCCACACGGGTTGGGTAAAGATCGGGCTTTCACCCATGAGCGTGGCCCCAATGAATAGTTTGCACTCAAGGAGGTTCGAACCTTATACCTAATGCTTCATGAGGCACCAAGCCCAAGTGACTTGCCACTTGAGACAACCCCTTGGGGTTTATTTAATATATGTTTGAGATTGAATTTCTGTTTTACTTGTTTTAATTTAAGATTAGTTAAAGCAGTTAATCAGTTCGACAAGACCTATTCATCCCACAGGTCTAGATTAGTGGACCTTACGCGACTCTCTATCAGAGCCTCAAATTCCAGTCCTTCAAACTTTTTGCCAGGTTTATAGGGCTGAGTGGTGATACTCAGCTAGTGTTGTCCACCACAGGTGATATAATCCTATCAATTATGGACCTCCCATAAAGCTGCTTATATGTGGATGGGTAATATCTATGGCGGGGTAAAATGTCAAGGAGGGAGGTGGTCGTTGGGTTGGTACATAATTCTGCTAACCAAAAGAAGAGAAATAAGAATGGTAGAAGGGTTAGAGACAAATAGCTTAAAAAGAAGTACCACTGTTATGTCTAGGTTTTATATTTCTTTAAAGAAAATGTCCCCCGTGTAGTGACATGGAGGCGAAAAAAGGAAAGGGGATGGGGTTTCTCTCGCTTTTGGCATGGCGCCACCAATGGGAGGCTCACAGGATGGGCTATTAGCTCAAAGGTAGAGTGTGCCCCTGATAATTGCGCCGTTGTGCCTGGGCTGTGCAAAATCATGTCTTTTTAACAACTCAATCACTCACATATGGTTCGGGTTACAATGTAACAAACAGGATTCGGACAAGTTTGGACAAAATGGAGACAATATAGTCGTATTTTTATGTGATAAGAGAAACCAGATATATTAAAAGGAAAACTGTATAAGACTATCAATAGGCCAACTATCTAATACAAAGTATAATGTTTGGCATTAAAAAAGAAACAGGAACATGTTATGACAAAAGCAGTGAACCAAGAAATAATTACCAATCAAGTCCAAACAGTGTCTGAACTTGAGTGTAGGAATGACCTTAATCATCATATCTGCCGGATTCTCTACTGTCCCAAACTTCCTCACTGCAACAGCATCCTGTGCAACCACATCTCTGATGAAATGAAACCTGACATCAACATGCTTGGTCCCCTCATGGAACATCTGATTTTTAATCAGATGTATGGCACTCTGGCTATTGCAAAACACAATCAAATCATCCTGCTTCAAGCCCAAATCACCAACCAAGCCTCTCAACCATATAACTTCCTTCACTTCTTTTGTAGCTGCCATGTACTCAGCTTCAATGGTAAACAATGCAACTACGGGCTGCAAAGTTGTCATCCAACGGATCACACTCCCACAAAGAGTGAAGACATACCTTGTCATGGGTCACCTTCTCAAGATCTCCAACATAATCCGAATCCAGCAACACTACCACACGTGTTGCTGGTTCTACCATAGACTAAGCCAACATCTCCAGTGCCTCGCAAGTACCGTAATATCCACTTCAGAGCCTGCCAATGGACCTTCCCGG